ATCGCAAACAGCACTTGTTTCGCGGGTTTAGCTGCCTTTAGACGCTGTGAAAATGGTTCTGGCCCCGCCCTTGTATATCGAGTAAATATTTGCTGTTTTTCAGTTGAACGGCAGTCTTTTTAATTCAAATAAAGAACGAAAGATAGTCGCTAGGGGATTTCTTTCTTTAAAGAACTTGGCCGGTATGTTGCCTGGACTGGATGACTTTGCTCCTTTGAGGCTCTGTCGCTCTCGTTCGACTACGAATGTTGGGAATAACAGAGATTGAAGCGCAGGGCTAGCGTGTACAACAGCACTATTGACATGGTCGAACTGGAGTTCGGTTACCCTAGTTAATACGGAGGCAAAGGACTAGCCACAGTACTCGCCATTCTCGCCATTCTCAACGACTTCCACGTGATTAACATCCTTAAGTACTGCGACTGGGTCCTTGTTTTTTTAATCTACCATTAATAAGGTTTACTTGGAAAGCACACCCTCGGCGCCGTCAAAACCCCGGAAGGCAGGAAAAAACCTAAAACAAGCTCCTTCTTTTGCAGTCACTATTGGCTTTGTTTTGGTCCTATGCTTGGTCAATAGGGTGCGAAATAAGGAGTTTGTTTTAATATAGCGGAACCAAATGTTGGGCTTGTGTTTAGGCTGTTGGAAGATTTTCGATTCACAGTTTTTCCTTGCCTGACGAATCGATTTTTTACCCCACCCCACGCCCCACATATGGTTTGGCAAAATGGATGTCTGTTCATCTGAAGTTCCTGGCAGTAGGCCCGACAACAACTGTAGCTTTTGCCAAACAATTTCTTGAACGGATAAAACATCTGAAGTTGGTGCCAGATAAATCCATGGTATCCTTCGATGTTGCTTCACTCTTCACCTCTATCCCACAGCAACTAGAGATTGATGTTTTGGGGCAACTTCTAAGCGAACGCTATGACGAGAGTAACAAAACCCTTAATTCCGAACATTTGCCCGATCTTCTACGAAATTGCCTTTAAACCTACTTCACATTTGATGGGCGAATGTATGAGCAAACTAAGGGCACTCCCATGGGCTCCCCCCTATCAGTTCTGATTGCTGATGTGGTCCTCGAACGGATAGAACACTTGGTCTTCGCTAAGTATCAACCGATGTTTTGGGTTCGTTATTTCGATGATACTTTTGTCATTGTCAAAACATGTGATATCGAGCACCTCAAAGATTTACTGAATTCGGTTTAGCCGAATATCCAATTCACGATGGAAGCTGAAAGGAACAACCAACTTCTCTTCCACGATGTCCTTGCGCGTCGGTGTTCAAATGACCTAATGCAAACCACTGTATTCAGAAAGGCCACTGACACAAATCAAGTGCTACATTTCAACAACAATCACCCCATGCATCACAAACATAGTTGCGTTCGTACTTCTTACCAAGGAGGTGAAACACATTGCAACACTCCTGCTGACAGAAGAATTGAACAACAATACCTTCACGAACTCTTCCGAGCCAATGGATACCTGAACTCATTTATCAAACGAAGCAAGCGCCGAGTGAGCATACGACGACCGGTGCAACAGCAACCCGAAGTCAGAAGGGCCATTCCCTACATAAAAGGATTCTCCGAAACAGTCTCACGACTGTTACAACCCGCTGGAGTAGGCATAGCCCATCGGCCTCAGGTGACAGCACGCCGCCGTGTGATGCAA